TATTGATGGGATTTTTGTGACAAGAAATTGTGCTGATTGTCTGCTGTATATCAGAGAGACAAAAAAGTGCAGGGTAGGAAGCGGGCAGGAAGAGTTAGAGAGAGAAAAATGAGGGAAAAAATTTCCTAAAAAAAGCATAATTAAGCCGGAGTTCTTATTTAATTGATACTTGAAATTGCTACCAACTTAACACTCATTCATTAGTGGAGTGGCCGGTAGCCTTGCTCAAGATAATAAAAAAACAAAAAAATATCTATTCGTTTAAATGAAACTGCTTCATATTTTGCTCGCCTAAAAAGTGGAACTGCTTTTGCACTTACCGAATCCTGAATTAACTGGATGCAACTCACCTTTGGCACACAGCCCGTACCAACAGCCTTCGTAATATCATCGATAGATAAAAGCGGCCTGTCGGAGACATCCTCGACTGGTATCACCAAATTTTTCTTGAACAATTCCTCAACAAGATTTGATGCTGTCGGCTTAATCGCTTTACAGTCGCCGTTATCTAGCGGTACCGGTAGATTTGCTGAAACCATATCATAGTCAAAATCAAAATCCCCCTCCCCAATCGTTACGAGAGGAAGGAGTACAAGTACTCCAAGGGTAGCAAGTACTAGCAGCAGCTGCTCTCAGACAAGCCTGCCGATGCCGGCCTCATTAGAGGTTCGCTTATAAGTAAGCTAATAGACGGTTTTCATTGCCCGTATCGTGCCAACACCAATTTGCCACTGAAACGAGTGAGTGACACGTGGTCGAGCTGACTGCCTCACTGAATGAAATTGCATAATTGGGCGAAAAACCAGTGTTTTTACGTTATTCAGATAATCGCATCCTTATGTCGACAAAGATTTTTGAACAATGTTTTAGTATACGGATACGAAACACGATTGCTGTGGAAGCAAAAAATCAAGCAATGGCTGTAGCGCACGGAGAAACAATTCCGCGCCGCGTCAAATAAATGACGCAGGATATGTTCATCACCACAGACAAATTAAACATATTAACGGTAGCCTCGAAACAGACGGCTCTCAAATGTGATGAAGGCAACGGGAAGCAGTGTTAGAATCGCGAATCCTAGAAAGAGGAAGCAATCGGAAGTCTTGCCAGTGAGTGGTTGCTATTGGCATTCGCTACCATTTGTGCCATTTTTCGGGGAAAGATGTAGCTAGTGCAGGCTTTGAGATTTTTTAACTAATAATTCATTTGTATAGTTGAAAAATTTCAAATACTTTGCTGATAACCGAAAAATGGCTGTTCTATTGTCAGCTTTGTTCTGGCGATACGGCCATCTAACTTTTGGCCTCTACAAAATAGCGGGAAAAAAGATGAAAAATTGTTAACAGCCAATTTTCGGTGCTAAATTAATCACAGTTTAAAGAAAGGACGAGAAGTTAGTTTACAGATGTTTTATACAATGCGGAAAAATTCTTCTTGACCCTAAAAAAATTTTATGTGTTGACATTAATTTGTTCGGCAGTTTGCTTCTTTGTGCAAAACTCACCATACAAATTATGACTTGTGGAACGATACGCTACCAGTAACGTTCAAAGAACAGAAAAGCTGAAAAAAAGCACTAATAGCGAGAGGAAACACGACGATGAAATACAAAATCAAAGTATTTTGAGGGCATAGAAGAGGGTGCGTTAAAATTCTATGTTTTAGTTAAATGTCAAGTCAAAAATTGGAACCACCTGCATCTTATCCCACAAGAAAAACGATTGCATTTTTTTATGTGCCCAAGCAACAGTACTAGTTTTAGGAGTGCTTTCTTTAATATTTTAATCAACTGCAGCTCATAGCATCATTTTTTCAACTTTCTACAGACAGAAACATTTTCAATTGCTTTGACCAATGCTGCATTACTTGGAAGTCAGCCTGCTGGCAATCCTGGCTCGTTCGTTTCTTGTTTGTTAAGACTAAAAACAATCTCAGCTTTTTCCCGGTACCGACACTTTGACAAGAATTAAGCCGTTTTGAAATGTCATGTTGAGAAATGACATTTCGTCTTGAATGTTGCTATTTTCAAATGACAATTTCAACTAGCTAAGCAATTTTTAATTTTTTCCCTCTCAATAGCTCTGTAATTTCGCCTCTGTTTGTTCAAATTTAATGATATAACATGTAATGAACAGAAAGAAAAATGTCAGAAATATAGGCTAATCGGATTCGCTCATGTTATATTCCGGTTTCACATTACTGGCAGCATGAGCTGCTTTTAATTGTCGTAGCATGGATCAAAATGAAGAAGAAAGCCTTCTTTTTGTTTCACAGGAAACTATACGATTCGTTTCAGTAACAAAATTAATTCTCACAGGCATATCTCACAAGTAATTATAAACCTCAACATAATAATTATGTGATTTGGTGGGCCGAAATATTCCAATTCAGTTTTTTCTTTTATTGTTATTTATTTTGTCTTTGTCTCCTGCTATTGCAAGTTATTAAATCATTTGCCACAGTTTCATTGCTTCTTATCACGAACTATATTATTATTGATAAACTATCATAATCTGCTTTAATGATTTGCTTTCAGTCCATTTATCAAGCACTGGGTGGTAGAAATAATCATCGCCAAGCTTGCTAATGCGGGTAATTGATGTAGGAAAACCGATTTGGCTCTAGATGACCGCTTCGGTCGTACCTTTTCGTAAAAATTGAGGAATGCTGTGTAATACAGTGATCAAAATAATGTAAGATTGAGCGTTAATACTAGATTCCGACCACTATTTCGTCAAAAGTGAAATAGTGAAAAGCAGATTTGTAAGCAGAATCAGTACACCAAGACTATCAAGAAGACCCAGACAATGCGTGTGAGGATCTCATGTTACCGGTAATACCGGAGATAGAGCTATGCCAGTACCTTCGGTTCTGGCCTGCAGACACCAGTAAATTAAAAAAAAAAAAATGGTCAATAAATTAAAAAAAA